ACAAGACCTTGGATATCGCTATAATCAAGGCTGGGTGCCTGCCTGAAGAATGCACTTTATTCAAACACGCTTTTGCACTCGGGATGGGTGTGATTCTGTGGCCTGTCTTGCACAAGAAACAAGATGCAATGGCTCTTTAGTTTTAAAATCTCCCACTCATTTTTCCTTCTTCTCTCATGTAAAAATCTAATTTGATGGCCTGATTTTTTTTTTATGCTTCTCAGCTGGAAATAACTGATTGCACTGGGGCAACAGTGAGGAGCTTTCTCAGACAAGTCTGAACCAGCTTCTGAAATTGCTGCCTGTGCACTAGACAGGTACCGCTGCCTTAAGCTCCCCAAAAGGCCTGATTTCCATGCAAGATCTGTTGGGTCACCGATATTTGTTTTATTTTTCCCCTCCACCAAGCATAAGTCAGTTGGACTTGATGATCGTAAAGGTCTTTTCCAACCTAGACGATTCTATGATTCTATGAAACTGTAGCACCTTCAGTATACCACTCTCCTGTAGAGTTCTCCAGTCTGTGGTCCCATAGACTTCTTGGTCAATGAATTCTTTTAACATCCACCACCATTCCCTTCTTCAAGTAGGATCTCTGCTCTGAGAGGAAATAGTGGATGCCCACCTTAAGGAACGGGTGCCTTTGGAGACTCCTTGGTTCCTTGTACGGTTATGGTTAAGTAATTGTAGCGTCAGCTAACGCCACCTTCCACATCCTAGTTACTGAGCTCTGATTTTAGACCACCTCTTTTTTTTTTTTTTTTTTTTTTTTTTTTTGCTTGGAAGGTGGTACAAAGCCAGAGGTTGCAATATGCCAACTTTAATACGATAGCACATCAGTCCTCCTTACTGAGTGCTCATGGGGAAATGAGCGTTTCGTGTCGTGAAAGCTGCGGTTTTGCTTTCCCATGCTTGAACAAGGTGTGTGAATGATTCCATCCAGACCCCTCTGGTAGTAAAACTGGTGCGAGCCTGTACTGTACAGACATAGGGACGGGCTGTGGCTGTGATTTCTGGGGGCTGGGTTCAGCGCAGGTGATGCTGACTGCCACCAGCTGCCACCTCAGCCCTTGCTGGGGGCTTGCCTGAATAACGTGCAAGCGCTGATCCTCAGGGATTTGAAGCCACAACTCTCTCCCTCCTCCTGAGGTTCAAAAGGGCCAAGCGCAAGGTCCTGCCCCTGAGTCGGGGTAACCCCTGGTATCCATACAGGCTGGGGGAAGAAAGGATGGAGAGCAGCCCTGCCCAGAGGGACTTGGGGGTGCTGGTGGATGAAAAGCTGGGCATGAGCCGGCCATGGGCGCTGGCAGCTCAGAAGCCAACCCTACCCTGGGCTGCATCAGGAGAAGCGTGGCCAGCGTCGACCGAGGGCTGGAGCCCCTCTGCTCTGAGGCCAGGCTGGGAGGGTTGGGGGTGTTCAGCCTGGAGAAGAGAAGGCTGCGGGCAGAGCTGAGTGCGGCCGGTCAGGGCTTCAAGGGGGCCCAGAGGAAAGGGGGGGACAAGCTTTTTAGTAGGGCCAGCTGGGACAGGACAAGGGGGGATGGCTTTAAACTGAAGCAGGGTAGGTTTAGACTGGGTCTAAGGAAGAAATGTTTCACGATGAGGGTGGTGAAACCCTGGCAGGGGTTGCCCGGAGAGGGGGTGGAGGCCCCATCCCTGGGAACATTCCAGGCCAGGTTGGCCGGGGCTGTGCGCAACCTGATGTGGTTGAAGGTGTCCCTGCTGCTGCAGGGGGCTTGGGCTGGGTGACCTCTGGGGGTCCCTTCCCACCCAAACCATTCTATGATTCTATTATTTTCTGAACAGGTTAAGTTATTTTTTTTTTCCTTCCTGTGACAGATATTTGTTTTTCCAGCTTTCTCTGTGGCTGGAAGCTCTTAACTTGGCTGTACCCTCCACTCCCTATTCAACTAGAAATCAAGCAGCAAAATGTTGTTTTACATCTGACGTGCGCGGTTTCCATCCACTTGTCAAGCTGCGTTTCCGGATGAAAGAGGGACGTGGAGAAGATGCCACCTTTTCCGCTACCAGCTCTATTATTAGGGAGTTCAGAAAAGTTCAAATACAGGCTTGGGCTTTTGTTTGTGAGTCTTGAACGGAGGAAGAGATGGAAATGGTGAAGAGCAGGCGGCAGCAGTGCTATGGCAGGGGACGGGACCCTCTCTCTCCTCCAGGCAACGGGGCGTTTCTCTGCAGTAGCCGGCCCAAAGCACTGCCACGCTGCAGGCACGGTTGGCTGCTGGAGGCGAAAGGAGCCATCCTAAATGACAATAAATATCGGAAATGGGGGCTAAGCAAGCAACGAGATGATGATTAAATGTAGGCTTTAGCAGGGATAAAAGCAGATACACGATACAGGGATGTGTAGTAGTGGTATTTTCTCATGCTGAAATGATATGAAGCTACCCGTTCAATAAATAAAAAAAAATTGGAAATGCGTTTTTAGACTAAAGCACTTTTGATTATTTTAGATTAATTATAGGATCCCAAAATGGTAATTAAAAATGTTTGCCTAGCTGTGAGTTCCTCCTCTGTCATCTGCCATTATGGTCTAAATATTTGAGACCCAGTTTGGTGTCGGGTAGTGACTTCCCTCTCCCAGTGTTCAGCAATTTGTCGCGTCGATGCCCTCTTGGTTTAACCTTGGCCTTGGCTCTTGGTCTAGTGGAGGCCCCATCCCTGGGAACATTCAAGGCCAGGTTGGATGGGGCTCTGAGCAACCTGATCTAGTTAGCAGTGTCCCTGCTCACTGCAGGGGGGTTGGACTAGATGACCACTAGTGGTCCCTTCCAACCCTAAACATTCTATGATTCTATGATTCTATGATCTGCCTGTGTTACCTTAATGCTCACAGCTTTGTTTTAATTGGGATTTTCATTCAGTTATGTCCCTTGGGCACATGCAAATTTTTGCCAAATTACAGGTGAGAGTCAAAATCCCAACTAAAATATTGTTGGGCTTCATCTTGCTTGAATTATGGCATTGCTTTAATCTGCGCTAGTAATTAACTGAGCTTCAGATTGTTGACAGGGTTGTAATGGAAATGTTCTTGGCGTTGGAGGAGTTAAGACAACAGCGACGTCTCGTTGTTTGTGGTCTCAAACATAAATTATTTCACATCACTGTGAAATACCAATGTGCTCTCCTGCTTTTTTCCAAGCAGAGAACAGCAACGCGTATTGAGCTACTTTTGTGTGGTTTAGGATTTTTCAGCTTTGTCTAATATCTGGCTTATACGAGCTCTGGAATTCCATTTATTCCAGGATATTCAAAGAACCTTCTTAGCCAACTGTATTCTCCCAAAGTCGATGGTTTCAATTAGCAAGCATCTCCTTTTTCTCACTTCAAATTTCGTAGAATACCGGCTTGGAAAGGCAAGTCAGGGATCATCTGGTCCAACAAATTTAATCGTCATTAATGCCATTTTCCCTGTATTTTTATTGCTGTGCTTCTTAGCGCTGCTCACATCTTCCATCCGAGCTAGCATCCTCATCTTAATCTAAGACGACCTTTTTGTGATTTCAGAGCGAAGTGCTTTTGCAGGAATGGAGTCACTCCCGTATGAAGATCTGGATGCTATTTATGGTTTTACTTTGCTTTCTGGTTTTGCACATCTATTTTCATCTTTGGGCAACTGACTTGGGGCAGGGGAGGAAGCTTTGGGTTTCTGCTAGTCGGCTACCGTGTATTTAATTTTACATTTTAAGGTAATACACGTATTTGCGGTTATTGCAAGAGATGCTATGCAATTCCCAGGCGTCACCGTGATCAGCTAAGAACGTTGTCACAGATTGAAACTATTGAGTTGTGTGTGGTAACTTCTGCATCAGCCGGGCTTACTGATGGCTGCAAATTGCATGTCCATCTGGTTACGGGAAGAAGTTGAAATACGCTGTCGTCGTAAATCCATAACACAGGCACGCAGCGAGCCGCAGTTTCTTTCCACTTGTATGGGAGAAGCAGCTAATTACTTGGAGATGATCCTGGAAGATCTTGTAGTTGTTAATTTGGTGGGAATATTCATTTATATTGTGTAATTTCTTATGTTTGTGTCAGGAAACAAGGAGTAATGTTTAATGGCTGGAGTCCAGCACATTTGTTTCAACATCTGTGCTAAGAAAATGAAAGTCATTTTCGAGAAAAAGAACAGATTCATTAAAAAGCAAACAAACCCAACTGATTTCCTTGGCGTATGGTTCTGTTTGCTGGTATTTCTGGCGCCATGGCTGGGATTTGGGTCTAGGTTGTCACCTGGATGTGGGTTGTCCTCTGCTCGGTGGTGATCCACCCATGGCAGTCGGAGGCACTTAGGGAGATCAGCTCATCCTAAAGCTCAGCTCACTTGCCCACAGGTAGGTGTCTAGGGCCGTCAGCCAGCCTCCGACACATGGGGTGTCCATGTGGACACCTTCATCAGGCAAAGGAGAATTTGGGGCACTAATCTTTCTGCATATTCCTTCTCAATTCAGATTTTTCATTCTTAATTGTCTGGTTTTCCCTAAGTTGAAGCTTTTCTTGTCTTCTCTCACCTGCCATATTGATGAATGTCCCTCTTGCATCTCCAAAACGGCATCGTTAAGCCAGTACCACTCTTAACCTTACGTACATCTCTGTCTTCTCATACCATGACTCTGGTTTTCCAAGACCTGACTTCAATACCAGGCTACGAAGAGTCCTTTCTCACTTTTCCAAAAGCTGGTATTTTTCTGCCTTCAAATTGCTCCCTTGGGTTCAACCTGTAAGCAGCTCTAAGATTGCCATTTGATACACTTTTTATATGTCTGTGCCGTGATTTTTCTAGCTTTCCCATCAGTAAGAATTTGTGAAAGCTGTGGTCTCTTGGGTCCGTTACTGATCAGTTGGTTTATATTCCCCATTCCCCCACCCCCCCAAAAAGAATGTTGTGTTGTTTTGGTGGTGTGGATTTTTTTTTGGTTGGTTGTGGGTTTTTTTTTTTTTTTTTTTTTTATGGATGGTAACTGTCTCTCTTGCTCTCGTAGATCCAGGTTTGCACAGGCAGCAGTTTTTCCTGCAGCGCCCGTCGAACGTGGTGGCCATGGAAGGGAAGGATGCCGTTCTGGAGTGCTGCGTTTCTGGGTACCCCCCTCCCACCTTCACGTGGCTGCGAGGAGATGAAGTGCTCCCCGTCAGGTAGCTCAGTCCTTCGCGGGTCACGTATCTAACGCTTCGTTTCCTAGAGTAAAGTAAAGGCAAGCCACCAAGCAATGCTTGAAATTCAGTGGGGTGGACTTGGAGGCCATGAGGTTTTCCTCCTAAATAATAATGAGACTAGACACATCTCGTAACCTGCTGCTATAACTCCTCGCTGCACCGAAGCCGAGGGTGGAATTTGATCATAAATGTCACCTGGCTGGTATTTGAAATGGAAGCGTAAAGCTATTACCAGCAAAAATCACAGCTGAGAATTACTTAGAGCGTAATTTACTGTGGGTATTTTTCTAGATAGAGCGAGCACCTCAACACATTGTGGACATGCCTTATCAATGTTTCAGGTCCAAAAAGTATTCGTTACTGGCTGGCAGTAACCTGCTCATATCGAACGTGACTGACGACGATTCTGGGATGTACACGTGCGTCGTCACCTACAAAAACGAGAACAGCAGCGGCTCTGCGGAGCTGTCAGTGATGGGTGAGTAGATGAACTGCGCCTGCTTTGCTTTGCCAAGAGCACTTTTAATTATTCCCTTTTCCAGAATGACTTAATTTTCAGGACTCCCCATAACTGCAGACTGTACCAGTCCCTTCCCTGCTTTGATCAGGTATTCGCACCCAGGGAAACCAGGTCCTGTAAATCTTTGAATACCTCCCACTGTTCCCGGTGGCCTCGCTGTTGCCGCACATCTTATGGTATCAGATGCTAATTGCCTACTGCCTTCCGTACACGGTCCTTTCCTTTTATTTCTCCTTCCCGAAGTCTTATTTTTGGCATTACAGTCGATGTCCCCGTTGTGCTCGATGTCAAGCACAGTGGGTTGAAAATCACATTTGTAGCTGCTTGCTTTTTTTTGTTGTGAACACTCAATGTTCTAAGATAAGAAAAAAATCAATGTGTTGAGCGTCTTCTCTCTAAATTAACAGAAGTCCAAGGGAATTCATGGAAGTCCTCACTCAGCAGCGATGCTCTGAGGGCTCCCACTTAAATCTTAGGCAAGCGCCTTCCCGACAGAACCTTCTTTCCCCCACGCTGCTTCCTCGTGGCAAAAATGAATGGAATCCACAATATGTTTAAATCTAATAGCTGCTTTTTTTACCTTTTTTTTCCTTATTTAAACCATTGAACAATAGCAGACTACATTAGCGTTACTCAGTCAGATCTAAAGAATGCCGTAGTTAATACTTAGTCAAACAATAACATATTTGAATGCGCTGTGCATTTTACATTCTGGCTTTAAAGCTTAGGCGTGAAGAACACTTTCATTAGTGAATAGAGCCTTAATTTGGATTATAGGATATTCAGTGCTGGTATAACAATATCCTTTTATCGAGCCATAATAAAATATAATCATTACCGGTGATGGAGGGTTCAATTCTATTTCTTTAGGTACGTTAATGCAATACATTGTTTTACTGGATAAAAATAAAAACGCTGCTTTACAATTGTGGAAGTTAATTTATTATGGAATTGTTTTCACTCTAAGGAATCAAATACCGAAAAGGCAGGGAAGTTGTTGGGCAGTGTGCTTTATATATTTGCCTTGCTGAAAAGCGTTGGTTTCCCATCTAGCGTGCGGCAGGTGACTAATTGTCACTTGAGAAGTAGAAATAAATGATATTTCACCCCAACAACAGATTGCAATATCCATTGGGAAGAGCAAGTGTGGCTTGGAGGATCATCGCGGATGTTATTGCACAGATAGTTTCTGACTGTGCAGTCCTCATGAAAATTAATGGGAGTTTTGCATGGAAGTCCTTTATGTACCCTTTGAAAAATGTATTCCTGTCGGCGTTCAGTCTGCAATGCATCTAGCGTTGGCTTCGTTATGCCTTCTGCCCTAAGCGTGTCATGTAGAAATTAAAGGTACATAAATTTTCATGCACGTTGAGGGGTATGTGATGGCAATGTGACACGACTCTAAGGATGAATATAAGATGACGAATATAAGATGACTGTAAGAGAAGACAACAGAATGCCAAGGTAGCGCTACGGATGAAATTAGACACAAAAATGAGCGATGCCGCAATTGCTGATTCCCTGTGGTCTCCAGGGGAGACCGAACCTGTGTCGCCATGGCACAACACGATTGTATTCGCCCTGTTGGTAGATCAGAGATTTGTTTGGTAAAGTTTCTGTTCTCATACGGAAATCCCAGGTATGGAACAGTGGGGGGGGGAAACCAGAGCGGTAACTTAGGCACAGTAGCGATGCACATGTTGTCTTTTCATGAGTTAGATCGCTCGTTTGTGACAGACTTAACTGAAAAGGAGACACCGTGTTTGTCTGTGTTGTATTAATAACAGAAAATGTTCAAAGGATTCAAAAGAAATGATATGATTAAACTGGAGAAACGATGACGGCAATCCCCTGATACCTGTCTTCCCAGAGCCATATACCAGGGCTACCGGCTTGCTCAGAATCGGCTTATTTGTTGAATCCATCCTTACCAGTAGGAAACTCTCAAATGCACTAAAGTTCCCCATGTAATGGTTAGATCCCATAAACAGAATAATTAATTGTTTTATTTCTTCTTTGGCTAGATACAAATGCAGATATTTCTATGTGTTCCCTTAGAGTTACTGTGCTTATTTATTTAACAAACTATAAATTGCCCATCGGTATTTTCGTGCAAGACTCGCATTTTTTTTTTTTTTAATATTGTTGTAATTTTTTAATTGTTAATGTATCTGTAGCGCGAAGGGGGCCGAGACGTTCGCCGTCTGAGCGCAAAGCAATGTAACAGTCCAATAATGATCTCCTCTGAAGTCTGAGTAGACAACATCAGATCAAAGTTAGTTACATCACATGGTCGCAAGATGCTTTTGATCTTTTAAATAATGAGGCTTATTTGCAAGGGAGAGAGAGTGTTTCACAATGGAGGCCCTATGAGTTCTTTTAACGAGCTAAAAATAACCCTTTCTGTGTTGGACGTAGGCCTGCAATTGCAAGAGGGCAATGAATTTGCAAGAAGAGATCATGTCTTTTGTGGAATTAGAATTTTGTATCATGGCCTTTTGGCAATATTTTAGCCACGTCTCCCTGCGTATTGAAAATTAAAAGGTCTGATGTAGATTACCTGGTTACTGTATAAATCAGCAGCATGCTCGGTAGCTTTAGAGAGCTTAGCATTTAAACAAACGTTGGAAGACGATTTAAATGTGTTAACCAGTGTCAACTACACTTATTTTCTAAATATTTTCTAGTTTTCAGAAGTGTATTTTGGGCTCGTTCCCTTTTGGCCTCCGAGAGGTTTTTTTATGTAGCTTTTTTTGTTTCGTGTTTTGTTGAGCAAGACTGAAAGTCTGCTTAATAGTTTGAGCAAATAAACCCTCCTATGCCAACTCCCTGAATGTTCTCAAAGCGGCATAAATCTGGAAAACAGTTTTCCATAGCCTAAACCGACCTGGGGGATCTCGCTCTGATTGCAGCCCTGTTTGGCCGTGGGGTAAATGCCTGGGGTTTTGGGTCCTGGAAGAGATCTAATTCCATAACCCCAGTTTTCTGGAGGTGGTCATAGCTGAATTGGTAGATTTGCTGCTATGCTGTCATACGTCCTTCTTTACCTTCCTGCTTAGTATTTGGGCTGTCCCTTAACTGCCTCAAAGACCAAACCATAGCTCTAATCATGTTGATACGGCAGGGGAAGAGCATCACTGCTTCTGAAGTTGAGAGTTTTGTCAACCAATAAGTATATTCAGAATTTTACTATCCGTGCCTTCAAATCAGGCAGCTATTTTTAAATGGGTCAAGATTGAGGTAATACGTATTTATTTTTAATCTTCTCTTCCTAAAATGTCCGTGTCGCGAGTGCTGATTTAGGGTCCTGCTGACTCTGTTCATTTGTCGTGAATGAGTGACTGGGCACAGTTTGATTTAGGAGCTTAGAATTTACCTGTGACAAATCACAGGATTTGATTGTGATATTCAAATAGCACTCAGTCCTCAGTCAATTAACAAAGTGATTAGACAGAATTAATCAAAACAGTGACTTAGTTAAAGATCGGACGATGGCAAGGTTCACTCTATTACTACGTGGAAGAAGTAGGCGAAGGAAAATGAAGTGACGCTCGAGTTAGGGATTCACAGCGAGACCGTGGGTGCGGGAGATGAGGATGACCCTCCCGTTGAGTCACAAGGTTCAGAGCAGACCCCTTTGCTTTCTAAACTCCTTTTCAGAGGCTGTGGCTGGGTCCCATCTTAGTCTCAGACTTGGTCAATCTAAGGATAATTTTTTATATATATATATATATCTCTAGTAACAATGTAAGACTTGCTATGTAATTACCCAGAATCCTGGAATGGCAGGGGTTGGCAGGGCCCTTGGGAGCTCACCCAGTGCCACCCCCCTGCCCAAGCAGGCTCACCCAGAGCAGGGGGCACAGGACAGCATCCAGGCAGGGGTTGAAGATCTCCAGAGAAGGAGACTCCACAGCCCCCCTGGGCAGCCTGGGCCAGGGCGCGGGCACCCTCAAAGCCAACAAGTTCTTCCTCCCATTCACCTGGAACCTCTTCTGCTTCAGTTTGCGCCCATTCCCCT